CAGGCAAAAAATGCATTTAAACCAGCTGACGTTAACTTTAGATCACAGTTTGAAATGTACGCCGAAGAGAACCAGCATCACGATCATCACAACAGGTCACAGYAAACGTGATGTGAGCAGTGTCTGGTTCTCCCATCTGGAAAAGAAACTTAATCACAACTGTTCTCTCTTCCCTCATATTCTGACACAGAGGGTAGAAACAGCTAAATTAGACAGTTGAAACACATTTACAGTTCATAACTCACCCTTGTTGTTGTTAGCACTCTGTCTCAAAATATTAGCTGCTGCGCTCTCACCGGGGGAAGGGGCGGACACATGCGCTCGCGTGACCCAAAGAACGGATCGGCCGAACAGACAGTGTATCTACCGATACAAGGGAAAAACACAAATATCGGCCAAAAATATCAGCCGTTCGACGTATTGGTTGACCCCTAGTAGACCCCGACTGTTAAATTAGCTAAATGGACTTAAGAGCGAGCAACCGTCCACATCTTCTTTTCATCTCCAGCTAACAAGAAAAAAAATTTCACACTCAGATCTGGGTAAAAGAAAAAACGGTTTTGCTGTGTGTGTGTGTGTGTGTGTGTGTGTGTGTGCGCAGATTTTTGCTTCATGTGTACTATTATTGACCATATCCCTGGTACATAACAGCCTGGTGGGGTTTGGGTCAGGTGTGTAGTCTACCTGGGAGGTTATGGTTGGCTATAGAATTGACATGGAAATGAATGGAAGCCAATGCAAAGTCGTGTGTGTGTGCGCGCGTGCAGGAGGTGTACAGCGGGCGACTGTAGATACTGCTGGATAATTTTTTTATGGAACATGGAAACTTTTTGTTTCAGCGAGCCAGTGCGACATTTTTTTTTATTTTTTTTTAGTCGCTTTATTAGGAAATCAGGTCACATTTGCACTCTAGAACCCTGCATTTATAAATATTTAACTTTGGGAAAATCTGGATTTTTTTCCCATCAGTGCACTTCAAATGTTGCACCAGTGCACTCTTTGGGGCTTCTGTAGTTCAGACAGAGGTACCCGCACCTGTCCCTCAAGACAACATGACAATATAAAAACTAGCAAAGAGCATCTACTTCTCAAAAAAGGCACTGTTTCTTCAGTTTTCTGGAACTGGTCAGGTTTTACAGCCTCAGACTTGGAGCAACAAACACCTTACTGCAGGGGTGTCAAACTCCAGTCCTCGAGGGCCGCTATCCTGCAT